CTATCTATCTATCTATCTATCTATCTATCTATCTATCGTTCTGGTGCAATCACATTTGATTACTCAGATTCTTCCATTGCGATGGCAACCAAATAAAAAATAAACAAACAAGAACAGAAAGCAGAAGAAAAACAAAAAAATACTAATCGCAGCCAGGATAAAATAAAAAAAATAATAATGTTTTGGTCTTGCATGATGACAAAATAACGAATTTAAATTTTCTTCTAACTGAAACTCATGTTGCTGTTTTTGTCTCCTGGTATCTGATGGCGAGCCAACAGCAGAGTGCAGGTGTCTGATGACTCTCCTTGAATGAAAATGAAATTAATGGAAAGCAGGTGGGTACTTCAAAGGCTGACTGCTCCAGTGATGTTACCAAATGTGCGTGCAATCGCCAACCTCAGCTGTTGTGTATCTATCACGGTGAAGAGGAAGTTTGGGTTGTGAATCCAAATAATTACCTAATGTCAGAAATGCAGCAAGAGAAGATGAAAGAGAAAGGGACATCATGTGTTCCTTGAAAGTAAATCAAATCATTAAAGGGTTCAAACATATGATTGTTTAGCACATCATCATTCATTAAAGGGTCAAACCACAGATTCAGTGTGGAGCTCAGCATTGTAGCCATGTCTTTATGAGCTTTTTATTTCAAAGCTATTGGGCAGTAAGTCACGGGGCGAGATGTGTGCCGTATTCTTCTACTGCCAGCCTGCTTTCAGAGCTCTAATAAAACCCCTTTTATTACAGCAATGTTTAAACAATTTCACTGACCTATTTTAACGTCTACGTTACAGATCCAATCAATGCTCCCCAACAACAAAGGCACAGCCATCTTTACTGTTTGAATTTGATAATAAAATCCCCAACATGACCCAAAAATTATTTGCAAAATAGCTGGAAATGTTCCCCAGAAATTGCAGCCACAGCAGTCTTTTATGTTTCTCTAGCAGATTACAGATGGGAAGGAAAGCTGCAGGACAACAAAACGCTGAATGTGTCAAATTCTTCGTCAACTTCAGGAACTGCATATATATATATATATATATATATATATATATATATATG